CTTCTATACCGTTTCAAAAATTTCTTAACTTTCTAGTAATTGGAAAGTTTTAGAGTGACATGAATGTCAAATACTGACAATAAAACCCACTGATACACTCCTCTGTGAAATACAATGAGAAAATGATAACAACAATAGTAGATGCCAGTTTATAGAGTTGCTAATTAGTAATTTTTTGAGTTGCTACTTATGATTAGTAACGTAAATATTTGGTGATTAATATTTGTCATTAAACTGGGTTACCAATAAGTACTTTCCTTAGTTGCTACTTATGAGTAGTAACGCAGATGTATGTTGATTCATAGTGTTTATTTAGGGGTGACCTTTTTATGAAAACTGAGAGGAATTGGGATCTTTTTCATTGTTTTACACAAAAGTTCATCTATTTATGATACAAATGTATTATTTGGAAAAAAGTAAAATAGTTATAACCCTTATGTGTATATATATATATATATATATATATATATATATATATATATATATATATATATATATATATATATATATATATGTCGTGCCGAATATGTAAAACTGGTCAATTAGCAAGAACTCATTTAAAATTAAATCCTTTCTAAAATTTTCTCTTATACGTTTAAAGATATATTTTTTTCATTAATGTTAATGTAAAAATTTTTAATTTTGCACCAAAAGAATCTTAGAAAACTTACCTAACCTTATTATAACAAGAACAATTTAATTTAGCCTAACCCAACTAAATATATTTTAGATTTGTTTACAATAATTTAATACTAAACAAACACAGTGAAATATATTTTTTTCGTTAGGTTCAGAATGATTTTGGCGAAATTATTGCATACACAAATTTTCGCTTGTCCTATATGGCAAGATGAGCGTTGCTATTTAAGCCAAGATCGCAAGTTCTGCCTATTCGGCACGACATATATATATATATATATATATATATATATATATATATATATATATATATATATATATATATATATATATATATATATATATATATATATATGTGTGTGTGTGTGTCGTGCCGAATATGTAAAACTGGTCAATTAGCAAGAACTCATTTAAAATTAAGTCGTTTCCAAAATTTTCTCTTGTAAGTTTAAAGATATATTTTTTTCATTAATGTTGATGTAAAAATTTATAATTTTGCACCAAAAGGAACTTAGAAAACTTACCTAACCTTATTATAACAAGAACAATTTATTTTAGCCTAACCCAATTAAATATATTTTAGATTTGTTTACAGTAATTTAATACTAAACAAACACAGTGAAATATATTTTTTTCGTTAGGTTCAGAATGATTTTGGCAAAATTATTGCATACACAAATTTTCACTTGTCCTATATGGCAAGATGAGCTTTGCTATTTAAGCCATGTTCGCAAGTTCTGCCTATTCGGCACGACATATATATATATATATATATATTATATATATATATATATATATATATATATATATATATATATATATATATATATATATATATATATATATATATATATGTGTGTGTGTGTCGTGCCGAATATGTAAAACTGGTCAATTAGCAAGAACTCATTTAAAATTAAGTCCTTTCTGAAATTTTCTCTTATATGTTTAAAGATATATTTTTTCGTTAATGTTAATGTAAAAAATTTTAATTTTGCACCAAAAGAATCTTAGAAAACTTACCTAACCTTATTATAACAAGAACAATTTATTTTAGCCTAACTCAACTAAATATATTTTAAATACGTTTACAATAATTACGTTTGCAGTAATATATATATATATATATATATATATATATATATATAATATATATATATATATATATATATATATATATATATATATATATATATATACACACACACACATCGTGTTGAGTAGGTAAAACTTATCAATTAGCAAGAACTTATTTAAAATTTACTCCTTTCTAAAATTTTCTCTTACACATTTTAGATATACTTTTTTCATTTAAGTTAATATAAAAATTAATAATTTTGCACCAAAAGAACTATAGAAAACTTACCTAACCTTATAATAAGCGCAATTTAATTTAGTCTAATCCACCCCTCCATCAGGCACTGTACTTCCCACCTCCGGGACTCAAGTCAGGCAAACTGGTTTTCCTGTATTCTTTCATAAATGTTACTTTGCTCACATTCCAACAGCTCGTCAAGTCATAGAAAGCACTTGCTTCCACTCCTGTCTAACACGCTCACACATGCTTCCTGGATTTCTAAGCCACTTGCACCCAAAACCTCTTTCACTCCGACCCGCCAACCTTTCCTAGGACGATCCCTACACAGCCTTCCCTCAATTACAGATTTATATGCCCTTCAAGTCATCCTATCTTGTTCCATCCTCTCTGAATTTTCGATTCACCTCAACAGCCTCTCCTTAGATTGTATTAATGTTACATAAGGGATCTAACCAGGACAAAATCGAACCACCACGAACCAGTCAATGCAGGGATTTACACTATACCCTGTGGAGGCTGCGACAGAATATATGTAGGTGAAACACGTCTCAGTGAACACATTTATGCATGTAGGAACGATAGCTTGAACAACGCCTGAGTATAACACGGGAACGCCAATCACCTCATGTAATTCAACGACGCTTGACTAGTGATCAATGAACCTAATTTCCGGAACCGTAAATACCTTGAATCATCATTAATCGCTGTTTCTAACACTATTAAGCATAATAAAGGCAGCTTTATCATCTCTGAAATATTACCATGAATCCTCCTCAAAATAATATACCCTGCCATCACACAGTTGCTGCTGCTAATGCTAAACGAAAACATAACAGAGGAGGAACTCTGAAACGGATCTTCCCAAATCTTAATAACCTCTATACTCATGTAAAAGTAGACTTTTTCTACCACTAGTATTACTACTACTACTACTAATATTACAACTAATACACCTCACTCTTATGCCTATATATACCCTCTGTGTCCATATATTGTTTGTAACGGCTTGATAAAACTCCTGGAGAGGGAAACGTTGCCACAATAAAATGTCACATTAGTTACACTTATGTCCTTTTACCTAACATAACCCCTCCTCAGCCCTCTGGATACTTTTAGTGACTCCACTCCTTCTAATTTCTATGCTTCGGATTCTCATTGCCCTTAGACACGGCATTTTCCATGCCTCCAGCCTTCCCTTGTTGCAACATTCAGTAGTACTGAAAAGAGTCAGATAATTTCAGTCTACTGGAGCACTCATATGATGCTATTAAATGAGTTGCATTGGATTCATATATTTACGACAGGTCAGGTGCACCTTGTTAAGTTACATTATAGAAGGTACACAAGCTCTCGTCATGTAGGTCCTCTCAAATCAAACCCTAACCTAAATTTATCCTGCCTATTGGCAAAGATGGCCAAGGATGCACAAGTATTTGTAATAAATATGTTGATAATATTCTCTGCATGTGGCCTGATACTAAAGACTGAAGTTAAATTCTTAAATTAAATATTCTTGTTCCAGTCAAACACTTGTCGAGGGTGAAAAAAATACGCGCTGATTCACGGCCTAATTCAGCCTCACTGGACAAATTTTTGACTGGACCTATATTAGTTAATGTAAGAGGTTAACTTCAATCTTTAGTATTAGGCCATATGCCTAGAATATTATCAACATATTTGTGCTACATAACACTGGAGAATAATTGTACTTGGCAGTTAATCTTGAGCAATTTAATGTATTCTTTAGTATTTCCTAGGAAAAGTGAATGCCACATTGCCATGACTTAGCAAATTGTCATAATGCATTTTCCTTCATACTGAATATTCAGAAAATATTATTTTGTGTAACAAAAAGAACGTATAATGAACAATGAAAGCCACACTAGTGTTACTGCAACAATTCACAAATAACCCACACTTGCGAGATAAAAATTTAGATTGACAAACATTTCGGTCCCCCCTCCGCCATTATTATGTCCTTAGTGGGGCTATATGGGAATGAAATATACTTTTTTCTTGTCCAAAACTTCGCATAAAGGCAATCTGAAGATGTTGGTGGTTTGAGGAATATCGTATGCACAGGGCGGAGCACTGAAGGTGCAGTTCGCCTGTACACTAATATCAGTAATGTTCTTATCATTATAACATGTGGCCTGGCTGGCTCTCTCTCCACACACGGAGTGCCCGGGTTCGATTCCCGGAGGGATAGAAACAGTTCGACGTGTTTCCTTACACCTGTTGTCCTGTTCGCCTAGCAGCAAGTAGGTACCTGGGTGTTAGTCGACTGGTATGGGTTGCATCCTGGGGGACAAGATTGAGGACCCCAATGGAAATACGACAGACAGTCCTCGATAACGCACTGACTTTCTTGGGTTATCCTTTGTGGCTAACCCTCCGGGATTAAAAATCCGAAGAAATATTATCTTTATCTTATCTTAACGTAAACTCTTATTGCATATACACTGATTAATACATACGCATCGTATACTCACTGAGAGACACACCCTTGATGTATATATACTGAAATATATACTCTGTTTAGTGTATATACAACGAGATATTCGTATCTTTTTGTATATTTCCTCTGCGATATTATTTCAGCGATAATAAATAACATTAATTTAATTCCGATTGACCATAGATAGGTTCAGAAGGATTACGATAATTTGTATTTTGTAATTGAATGTATTGAACGAAAAATATTTGTGCATTTCTATATTTTTAAAACTTGTATTTTCATAGTTCTTTTCTTTGTTGCTTTTGCAAAAATCTGAATTGACATTATTAATTAAAGTATTTTTATCTTTTGCGCGTTTGTGTGTGTGTGTGTTAATCTTGTACGTGTGCTTGTGTGCATGTGTGTATGCGTGTGTATGCATGTGTGTGTGTGTGTGTGTGTGTGTGTATGCATGTGTGTGTGTGTATACGTGTGTTATTCTTGTACGTGTGTGTGTGTGTGTGTGTGTGTGTGTGTGTGTGTGTGTGCGTGTGTGCGTGTGTGTGTGTGTGTGTGCGTCTGTGTGTATCTGTGTATTTGGTCTCACAGACAGCAGGCAGTCCCACCAGCAGTGCTTCTCGCACCTACGTTGCAGTTCATCCGCAGCAGCAATCGCAGCCGCAGCCGCTACACTCAGTCGACCTCCCGCACATCAACGCCAACAATCACAAGTACTACAAAATCAAGATCGACTGTACTCGGCTCAGCAACGAGAGCTTCGTTTAGCTCGTTCTCCACTCGTGAGTTGGAGCTCTGAACTCAGCCGATATTTTAAACTTAGTTAACCTCCGAACTCAATTGCCCTCTTAAATCAGTTGATCTTTAACATCGGGTGTCCTCTGAACTCAATTCACCTCAGATTTCGAGTGTCCTGTGAACACTACTGACCTCTGAACTCGGATGACCTCTGGGCTTTGTTAATCCCTGGACTTAGTTGACCTTTGGGTAATGGTAATAAATAACTTTTTTCAGTAGGCAAAAAGAGAGGTCAGTGAAAGCTTAGTCCCTTGATCCTCTTATCTGCAAGTTGTACTCCCTCAGTGAACAATTTTATCCTTGTAGATCTTTCTTTTATTGTCTGCAGAGCTAAAATAAACAACTGTTTCGTAACCTACAGTTACACTCAGTGAATGAATACTTTATTGCTCTGTGGAGGTCAACAACTCTGAAAAAAAAGGTCGACGTATAAAGGAACAGTAGTGTAATCTGGGTCGATACGACACGCTGACCTTTTCCAAGGGGTCAGTCTGGGTCACTGAAAAAAATGAAACATTTCTGACAGGTATGAAGAAAAAACTTTTTTTGGGACAACGTTTAGATCAGTGTGGAACTTTATAATAATATAATAATAATAATAATAATAATAATAATAATAATAATAATAATAATATCTTTATTTCTACAAGTACAAGGTATACAGGTCTAGCTGACATCAGTGACATACAATTACACAGAAAGCCCTTTGTTATGCAGAGCATTTCGGGTAAATTAGGTCAATTTTGTCCTAGGATTCGACCCACACCAGTTGACTAACACCCAGGAACCCATTCGACTGATGGGTGAACCGGGACAGCAGATGTCTTATGGAAACACCTCTTAATGCTTTCCAGCCGTAACGGGGGATCGATCCTTGGACCTCAGTGTGTGACCTGAGTGCGCTGGCTTGACCGCCAGCGCACTGACAAAGCTCTACAAACCGCAAAACGTTGTCTTAAGAGAAGCTTGTTTTAAAACTTGGTTCTTAGTTTTGATACACTTCTTTTACGTCGTTCAAAAAACGTTATCCACACTAAGTAAATACTGTAATAGCATTTTGCCCAGTTGAACTGTACATACACCTAGAGAAGTGAGTCACGGTAAGGTCGTGATATCTGTAGGGACCAAACTAGGTCACTTAAGTATATAAAATTAAGAGCATTTGGGTCACTGACAGGGGAATTCTGAAATCGAATGACAGTTTCGGCGTATCCTGACTCATAATGTTATTGTCACACATTTAATGCACACGAGGTCATGGAAGTTTTCATTGTGATATCACATGCTGGAGGTCACAAGTGAATATACTTGTTATAACTAAGTAGGATGGTTAGCGTGGACCATCGTGTTATGATGTGGTCTGCGTGTTTATGATCAGCTTGGGTCAGTGTGGTAATTACTAAAGGAAGCTATTGCTCGCTCTTAAATATGGCTCTTTAATTATGTGACGGTGTCTCAGATTTACAATATGACTGCAGAAGCTATCACGCAGAATTATTAGTAAACTATTCACGTAGGTTCTGGGTAAACAGGAAGAGCAGGAGAAAATGGAGTAGGGCCACCAGTATAACTAACTGTACCTGTGGGGGACCTTGTTAATAATGTACCCCCATGGTAATCCTGAGCTGTTTGTTATAGTGGCGGTAAGTTTTCTGTTTTACATCAACGTTAGTGTAGGTATGATATTAATTGTTCTACACTGATTTCTGATAATGTGTTTTGTGCCGCATTTAAAAATTCCGTCAGTGAAATGGTAACATTGGATAATAATAATAATAATAATAATAATAATAATAATAATAATAATAATAATAATAATATCACATATAATTGTTGTTATATTATATTTAATTAATATAAAAGCTCAATGAACAACAAAGAGAAAAGCAATAAAATATATGACTGACACAAGACTGTGACCTCTCTTGACCCTGACCTCCATGACTGACACAAGGCTGTGACCTCTCTTGACCCTGACCTCCATGACTGACACAAGGCTGTGACCTCTCTTGACCCTGACCTCCATGACTGACACAAGGCTGTGACCTCTCTTGACACTGACCTCCATGACTGACACAAGACTGTGACCTCTCTTAACCCTGACCTCCATGACTGACAAGCCTGTGACTTCTCTTGACCCTGACCTTTATGACTGACACAAGCCTGTGATCTCTCTTGACCCTGACCTCCATGACTGACACAAACCTGTGACCTCTCTTGACCCTGACCTCCATGACTGACACAAGGCTGTGACCTCTCTTGACCCTGACCTCCATGATTGACACACGCCTGCGACCTCTCCTGATCCTGACTTCTATGACTGCCAAATTCCTGTGACCTCCCATGATCCTGGCCACTCTGAGTGACCTATCCTAACACTGACCTCTGTTACTGACATCATCCTGAAGTTTACACAAAGGGTAGAGGAGTATAACAAACACTGGAGGTGAGGTGTGATCACACACACACACACACACACACACACACACACACACACACACACACACACACACACACACACACACACACACACACACTCACACATATACATTCTTCTCTCTCTCTCTCTCTCTCTCTCTCTCTCTCTCTCTCTCTCTCTCTCTCTCTCTCTCTCTCTCTCTCTCTCTCTCTCTCTCTCTCTCTCTCTCTCTCCTCTCTCTCCTCTCTCTCTCTCTCTCTCTCTCTCTCTCTCTCTCTCTCTCTCTCTCTCTCTCTCTCTCTCTGCTTCCCTTTACCGAGATACTTTCAACCAATAAATCAATGAATAAAATGTATGTCAGATTACAAAACTACAATCAGTATAAGACAATATATTCAAGAACGACCCTTATTGGGCAGTGAAATAAGAATGAAAGTCTGGGTGGGTGGGTACATTGGTGTTCTCCGTTGATTATCACTGTCTTGTCTCTGGCTGTTCCCACTCAACATTAAGTGATGAGAAGAAAAATATATATTATAATAAATGTTTATAAACTGAAGCGATGAATAAAAATGTTTACATGCTTTTTAAACGTGCGTTTTATTCTCGTTTTACCTTTACTAGGAGTTGCTGTTAAAACGTATATTATTTTCTGTTTTTGAATGTTAATTGACTACACGTGGTTTTTTGAGACAGTATTGTCGTGGTTTTAAAACAAAATACAATGTTTATATCACAGGAAAATATGATATTTTTCTACACAACTGTAAGGAGCACCTCAAAAGGCCATCATGTTAAAATTCCTACGTCAACTGAGGTTTTCCTGACGAATTATGTCTATTTTTTTGTAATATTAACCAGGAAAGCGCTAAGCCCGTAGAGCTCAAACAGCGCCTGGGGAAATGGGAGGCAGTCAGGCTGGATCCATGGAATAGGAGGATGGCTCCAATTCGTTGGGTCAAGAGCCTCTCAGTCTATCCTCAAAGCAAAGATTTCTGATAGTTGGAATCAACTTCGACATCCTTCTCAATATTTTCCAGCGCATTCATGTCCATTCTGTGATACAGAGACCAGAAGAAAGCAGCGACTTCTGAAGGGAGAATGTACAAAGTAGAACAGGTGAGACTTTTTATTTTCATACGAGTAGGAGACATATCTCAGTCGTAGGTAACACCAGTGTATCCAGCGTGGATAAGATAGTGGTCACTGCGACTGTGACCCACAACAGGGCTCTCAGCTACCTCCCTTAAACATTACTGTTTTATTAAGCTGCCTCCAATGGGCCATCAGCACCGAGTAGATCATCCAGTGGAGGAGAAAACTCTCTGAGTTTAACTTAACCTCTTGTACTCTTTTCACTTTACTAGACTGTATGATGAAGGAGCGGTTTCTTTTTCTCTGTAGACTTGATAAAAGTTGTTCATGAATAGTATACAATACCGACAAGATGAAAATTAGACACGTGTGAAACATCTGGGTATCTTTATTGTAGACGTTTCGCCATCCAGTGGTTTTATCAATACAAATTCAAGGACATAAATGGACGACAATAGAACTCTATACAAAAGATGAGGTAATCAGTCCCTCAGCCTTGGAATTGGTGTGAAGAGCACCGTAGTCGTGAAAAATCTGGAGTACAGGCAAGAAGGCTGGCGCTTTTATATTGGTGTCAGGTGGAAAGGGATGGGTAGCAGACGAAGGCATTGTCACTGGTTAGCAGGATTCCCGAGATGATGTAGATCATACCCAAGGGACGGGTTTATAGTAGTGAAAAAGGTAGTGGAGATTTCCTCTGAACCAAGATTCCTGTCAGACACTGCAACATCATGGAATCTTAGTTCAGAGAATATCTTCACAATCTTTTTCACTTCTACTAACCCGTCCCTTGGGTATGATCTACTTCCACTGGAGAATCCTTCCTACCAGTGACAATGCCTTCGTCTGCTACCCTTCCTTTTCCACCTGACGCCAGTATATAAGCGCCAGCCTTCTTGCCTGTACTCCAGATTCTTCACGACTACGGTGCTCTTCACACCAATTCCAAGGCTGAGGGACTGATTACCTCATCTTTTGTATAGAGTTCTACTGTCTTCCAATTATGCCCCTGAATTTGTATTGATAAAGCTACTGGATGGTGAAATGTCTATACAGTAAACATACCCAGATGTTGCACATGTGTCTAATAATTTTCATCATTAATAAAGGTTGATCTTTAGCCCTATCCCTGCATTAGCTGTCGTTATACTGTTTACTCCGATATCCCTATCAGGTGATTTTTTTTCTTGGCAAATATGGCAACCATATGCCAGCATCAGGCGTCTTATAACTAGGTACACTGTAGGTGATGCTGCAGGCAGCCATCCGGTGAAGGTCTTATGGTAAGAGTGTTATCCGCCACTACTGAGCTCGAGGGATGTCTGAGGGAGACTGATGAGAGACGCAACGTCAGTAAGACAACTACGAAGTGACAGGTGGATTGACTTGTGGCTGGATTGACTGGTAGCGAGGTGACGCCTCTGGAAGTTCAAGGGAGGGAGGGGTAAACAAAAACTTTTTTTTTCTAATTATCCGATTTCAACGAAATTTTATAGGGTGTAATACAAAAATCATAATAAAATTGGTAAGATAATTATTATGATTATTGTTATATTCAATGTGGAAGCGCTAAACCCGTAGGATTATACAGCGCCTGTGGGGGGGATGTGGAAGGTATTCAGGTTTAATTCAGGGCACTGGAGCATAGATCCAATTCCCTGGATCAAGAGTCCCTCACCAGCGTCAAGGAACCTTCCTTGAGGCAAGGTGAAAAATAAAAGTCTCAGTATGAACCAAACAACGAACTTTCAAGCGAGATGTCAATAGACTGCATAATTAAAAATGTTGAAAGTTTTTTTTTTCTTTTTAAGGATTTTATGGGGAAGAATCAATAACATAAAACAGTAAAGTATATTGCCAATATCTCATTGTTCCGTTCTAAAACAAAGATAGCCGGTTATGGTGTGAAATAATCATGGCATTCTCTCTGAGAGTTTTCGCAATATGATTTTTGAAAGGTCAGTTACTTATTCCTGAGAAAAAGAGAAATTCCAGCTTCTGTAAAACTATTGATACTACGGGCCATACTTAGGCGCACCATACACCTCCACTCTAGACGGCAGCCCATGACTAAGCAGTTGTCACTCAGAGCACTAATATGGAATCGACAGAGAAGATGCCATCATAAAAATCTTAATTTTTGGAGGAAAAAAATATGAATTGGCATCATGCCCTCTCGATGACAGAAGAACAAAAAATTAAATTTTTGGAATAAAAGATACTTAGAAATATGATAGAAACAAGCTGATTGCATCAACATGTTGCCAGAATTATGCACTATTTCTCGGAAAGAAAAACAAAATTTTTCTTTGAAGTGTGACTTGTGTGGTCTCGGTCACGATTTATATTTACAAGTAACTGACAAACTGTAAATGAAAATAGAACGACAGTCCATTCTAGACTATTATCAAGTATCGACGCGACAGTTTTTGTCTCGAATCTTGGGTTTAGTTGCGAACTGCTTCAGCCATATTGTTTTTTTTATATTCCGTTCCGTCCATACGTGTGTGAGCTTTCGTATAGGCGTGTAGAAGATTCCTAGTGAGCCAGCGAGGGTTCTAGACAAACAGACTTTTTTAACTTTGTACGTGATATATTTTAGGCTTGTCATTGAGTACGTAACACTAGGCATGAGCTTTCACGTGGTCGAGCATATTCGAAAACTGCAAGACTCAACTTTTGCAACAGAAGGCAAAGGTACAGAAATGGAAGCTTAAAAAAGACAAACTTACCAATGAGATGTTTAGTAAATAATTCTTTAGTTTCGGTATTGAAAATACGTGTAATGAGCTAGATTAGGAAATGGTGGCCACAAACAAAGTGCAGTTTCAGGAAAAGAAATGAACGGGCCGAGAGACCCGGGAGCAATAATGTCGGAGACTGTAGTTGAAGAGGCGGAACCAGGAGCTGACATTTGATCTCTGCAAGCAGATCTCTGAAAGCACTTGAATACCTGGTGCCCAGGGTTCATGTAAAGTGTGTTGATTCTTGCTAACTTACAGACCTGCGATTCGCCTGTTGATGAGCACTTCTGTAACAAGCTGCCGGATTACTTTTAAGACAGAGACACATAGTAGAATAAGTCTTGAATAGGACATTTCTCTCTAAGGGAAGCGAAATATTGTCCCAGGATTAGCTTGTGTGCTTTAGTCTTCTTTCCTTCCAGCAACCCGCCCGTCAAATACCAAGTAGCTTTGATGTGATATGACTAGTAACTAGCAACTTCAATAATTTGCCCACTGTTTAACTCGGGCTGATTAGGTGGTAATTCGATGGTAAGGATCTATCTCTCGTTATGTAGGTAACAATTGTCCACAATATTACCAGTTTTGTAGTAAAATATAGAAAAAGACTAGTTCGCAGTGCACTAAGCTATATTTTGCCTTCTTTAAGAACCTTAAAAAATAGTTTGTCGGGACACGTGGACGTATTTCACTTAACTGGTCTAAATGTTTAATAACCATCTCTTTAGATAAATAAACACATTTGCAACGATTTGACTATTAATTTGACAAAGCTCCCGGAGAGCTATAAGTAGCCTAAATAATATATCCAATCGTCGCAAATAGGGCCATTTACTTACAGTAATTTTCAGAAAACATGTACCCTTCAAACCCTCATCCATGTGCCTTGTAGATGTTATATTATGTTATTCGAATTTCTCAGGTCAACTACAATACTTAGTGGACTTCGGTTGTGTATTATTGTACAAACGACCGACAGAAATTGACTGTTAAAACTGAACGCTGTCCAAAGTTAGTTATAAGTTGACCCAACTTTTCTTTAATCTTTTTCCTCTAATACTGGGGAGGATAGTTTCAAATTTGTTTTTGATTCCTTGCAAAATATTAATTCCACAAATTCGACTGGTTTTTCTTATCCCTTTTCTTACATTTCTTTTACGATAAACACGGTACTTCGGGAGGTTAATGTCTTCTTTACTGATGTGCTAATAATTTCTTCACTATTTTCCAAAAGACGTTGTTGTCTCCTGTTTATAGATTTTACGATATTTTTTGTGCTATCTCTT